CCAAATATAGAGGAGTCATTCATGGAAGTTGGTGCGTGCCAAGTATAGCGAGGTTTCTCAATGTTTTGAATGAAACTGCTTGGCTGGTGGTGTTTCAATCATGTTATATGTTGAAGCATTCTTGCGATGATAATCCCCCAATGGTTCAAACGTAAACCACCAACAAATAAGGCGAACCCTCATCAACCCCAACAGTAGTGGGGATTAAACTTTGGGGTGGTTGCAATTAGAGGTTGAAGATTATAAACTCAGGAGGTATTACGTTGACCCCAATCAAACCCACACCATGAAAATCGTATTTAGGATTCAATACCCTAAGGTGTTGCATTTGAAAGATCAGCTGCATATTTTGGATACTCTCCAACTGCTTGAAATTAAGGTGGTGCCTCAGTTCTGTAGCTAAGCTGGTTTCAAACTCTAATAACGGTAGAGATTAGTTACTGGGGGTAGCATAACCAACCGTGTCACCCCAGCAACTCAGATATGAGTAATAACCATATCCAATTAATCCCAATTAATCCTAGTGGGATCCCCTGCAACTGTTTGAAATACATCATGGGATTTTCAGAAAAAGGTAGGTTTCCTTGGGGGTACCCCCAAATTCATCCAAGTTATCCAAATGATTGAAACAACCATGGTGACTTAGGGATCCTGCCATGAAATCTGCAGGTGTTGCTGCCCCTCCTGAAGCATTGGCGCCGGCGCATGCAGAAAGTGCTCATCTTCTCCAGGTCGACCAGGACACGGGACCGCCTTGGGATCACTGGATGTGCATCCGGGTGGATGGATATACCCAGGGTTATGCCTTTTATGTCCAATCGTAAACGAAAATTGAGGAAATATATGGGATGTCTTCACTTCGAAAAACTGATTTATTTGTCCCCTGTAAAAAGTGGTTTATCATGGGTAGACGGGTTTTGGACGCTTTGGAATGTCCCGAAATTTCTGCCTGGTGTCAACTTCCTCTTTCCTTTTTTCTCAACCTCGGACCTGCAGATGCAGCGAAGAATTGAGAAGATAATGGTTTGGAAAAACTTGTGCCCTTCGATCAGTTTTGAAGTTGTTCACCCCCTCACCCAGACGTTCCACAGGCTGCTTGACATCCTTGAAGCATGTTTGTGGCAGCAAGGATGGTACAGTTCTCAGCATTTCCCATAGAAAGGCACTGCTGATGTCCATGTTCAAAACTGTTTTATTTCTTTTTGAAGATCTTGATATGATATCAATTGATATCAGATGCCCAAAAGTTGGAACTGCCATGGGAGAAAAAAAACCTGGGCAGCTAGTCTCGCATCCCAAGGTCACCGTCGGTCTTACGTTTGGATGGCGCCACGGCTGTGGGCCAACGGCAGCGCCTCGTTGATGAGCCCGGCCCTTTCAGCACCGAAAATCCATAGGAAATCATGAGTTTTTTCCATGAATTGCGGTTGTTTTCCTGCGAATTGACCCATAAAAAAAAACTTCTGGGCGGAATGGGGTTCACCTTGTCAGGTTCAACACATCCTCCACAAGGTCCATATTTCTGATCTCAACCCGTGCGGGAACCCGACCAGAATCTTAATGCCATCCCGCTGCAGAAGTAACGCAGTAGTACCACTGTGCTGTTTGGAGGTGCTGTGGAGAAAATCATTTTTTCTAATGTTTTACAGACATAAAAGATGGCATCCATGTTTTTCTTTGAATGAAGTTGATGCATTCACCGTTCTTGGTGTTTGGTGGCTTCCATACCAATCACTGCATCGAAACTATGGGCTCGAGTGTTTTATTTTTGGAGTTGGCCTTCCAAGGGCGCCGCGGTCAAAAGTTACTTGCAGTGTCCTTCCGCAATTTGGAAACCAAAGTTCAACCAATTGATTGGCATTTATCTGGCCTGTTTCAACTCTTCAGATACCACCACAAGACCACAAGAATCTCTCATTTAGAAGGGTTTGAAAGGCTCCGCGATCAGATTTGTTTCAGTCGCACTTGTCCACATTGACCTTCAGTTCCAGAAACATACACATTAATAATGTTCATTATACATCCAGATCAAGCCAACCATACGACACTCTGCCTGACAGCTGCCATGACAGCTCCCTGCTGTCCTTCGGGATCTCATGGTCCACTTCCACCGGACGAAGTCGCACTGCTGCGAGGGTGGCCAGAGAGACAAGCGGATTTGGAGTGCTACTTCAGTGGCCAAAAGGAAAATCCCACGATGATCATTTTAGCCTTTTCAGATGTGTTTGGCCCAATGTCTGGCAAACATCGGAGGATCTGCGATGAAATGGCAACTGCAATCCCAGGCAGTTTGGTGTGCTTACCAGATTTGTTTGATGGCGAACCGATTTGTCCTGACTTCTTGGACAGCAAATTTCCCGGACTGAGATTAAAGTTGTTCTTTCCCAAGATGCTCTACCGCATTCGATATCGATATGGCTGGGCCAAGCTGGGTCCAAAGATTCAAGCACTGGTGGATTCCTTCTCTTCTTCCATCCCTATGTCTACCTTCGGTTTTTGTTTTGGTGGTTATCTCGCTGTCAAAGCAAGTTCAACAGGATCATTCCGTGGAGCTGTTGGATTCCATCCATCTTTGATCGTCGGCCGTCTGCAGTGCTCGCCTCATTCTGAAAAGGACACTCCGTTCACATTTTTTGATCTCAACGATTTTGGTTTTGAATGCCCACAAGAGTTCTCTAGGATTTGTTTTTCACACTTGGTGGAGGCAACAATGTCAGGGTTTTGGAACGTTCAAAGACCCATACGTTAGGTCAAAATTGTTTCTTACAAATGTATATATCAGATTATATCAGATAATTTGGAAACCGCCAGATGTTTCCACTGCCTTGATAAATTTCTCATGTGCTTGGCTGGAGGATGCAGATTTGGCGAAAGCAGTGCGCTGTCCGCAGCTGATGATACCAGCGCAAAACGACGATGCTTCAGCAACTGAGCACAAAAAGAATGGTTGACCATTGGATTGTTGATATGCCGATATGCCATTGAGAGCAACAGATGTGTGGAACACAAGAAGTTGAATCATATAAGTTCTGCCAAGAGCATTTGCAGTCGAGCCGAACGATGTTAGTTGTGCGCCTTTTGGGTTTGTTAAACTGAGGTAAAACCTGGAGGCGAGTTCATAAACTTGGTGGCAACTGCATATCCTTTGAGCAAGTCGGTGTGTTTCGAAAGTTTCTTGGTTTCGGAAAATGCAGAGTTTTCATGTGTGTTTATGTTGTTTCAGTTTTTGTGCCTCCCGTTTTGTTTGCGCTAGTTAACTTTACTATCCTTCATTCTGCGTTATCACTTGACAACACCTGTCAATATTTATTGTAAGGGGATGGTGGTTGGTGTGTTTCTTGATTTATCATCAGCTGAGATATGGTGCATGGTTGGATGACCCGTGGGGCTGACGACCCAATGCTTCCACAACCTGCCGGTGTGGAAAGTGTGCGCGAGTCGCAAGTATCTGCTTTGAAACTTGCAGTCGAGTTTTTCGAACAGGTAGCGCAACCTGTTTCTTGAAATTGATGAACAGTGCGACATTGTCCAGCTGCCCCTCACTCTATGAAGGGAAGGCGCTCAAACATTTGCTCCATTGATTTTGAATAGCATCCTAGTTTCTGACGCGAAGAAAAGACTCCAGCTGCCAAAAGCAAAATCTGTGGTCAACCTTGGATCAGAAGATAATTTGCAATTGGTCCTATGTTTGTCCTGAACTCGTTGAGGTGCAGGTGGAGTGGGTTTGAACCTCACAGCAGCCTCTGTGGTGGTGATCTTTGACCCGGACTGGAATCCATTTTCCGATCTCCAGGCCCAGGTGCGACGCTCGAGTGATCAGCGGGGGTTGTACGACCTTACTCAAATCTACTCAATACATTGGTCAATAATCCTTTATGGGAACCTCCATTAACCACCTACAAGATATGTTTGAATTGTTTTTTTGACCCTGCTCAGCTGTTTTTGTTCACCCTTCTGACTGGCAGGATCGATCTTTCCGCATTGGTCAGACTCGGGTTGTCGAAGTCTTGGCCTCGAATACCAATCTATAGCAATGCAGTTACTACAGAGAAATTTCTGAAAACGTCAGGACGTCATGGGAAGTTCAGGTGTACTTTATTTTGTTATCAACTTTATCAGCTTTATCAACTTCAGGTCTATCGGTTGCTGGGTGCAGGCACCATCGAGGCACGGCCGTGAAGCCGTGAAGCCTTGGCTCCTGATGTTGTTTTCGAATGTCTCGAAGTCATCGACGTGTCAAGCCATGAGCCCATCCGTCAGGAACAAGTCTACGTGAGACAGGTGTGGAAACAACAGCTGGCAGCAGTGGCCTTGGCCTGGCTCCCAATCACAACAGGAGATATGAAGTCGCAACATCACAATGGAAAGTTGTGCCATGCGATTTGGGTGTGGTCTGGTTCCATATGACTGTAAGAGTAAGAGGATGTAAGAGATACAAAGAGCATCATTTCATGTTGGTGAGTCATTGGAGTCTCTAGAGCATGGAGGTGGTTGGCTGTTGAGACTGTTGAGACTGTCTGGAGCTGGCAGCGCATTGGCAGCGGCCCAGGATGGAACTCGCAGCGCCCGGCGCTTGGACAATCAATCCTTTGGCCTCTCGAGTCTCTTTGAGTTGCACGAGACTTCCATGCTGCCGGCATCTCAGCACGTCAATGTCACTGGTACCTGGCATATTTTCTGACTTTGTCACTTTTTTGTCGGAGATGTGCTGCTTGAATTTTGAGAGGCTCACACTTCGTTTGTTGAGCTTAGAGCAGTTTGGTATGATAGGAATGGGACCCTTTGAGTTGTCAAGTTCTTGTTCTAAGGCCAGCTCTTATGGCAGAGGCCTTTACAAATAAGGCCCATCAGGACTGCAGCAACTGAAGCAACTCAAGGGTACGATATGATGAAATTATCGAGTTAGCAATTTCTGAAGTCCAACGGCAAGCCTGTGCCATTAGGATTCCATTAGGACATTCGGATGTTTCCATATGTTTCCCTATCTTTTCATCGTTTGCGCTGCCGAGCTGACAGCCCCAGGAGTCCGAGGAAGGTGGAGTACGTGCCAGAAGCTTCGTGTTACCACTATCGGCAGCCAGAAAAAATGAAGAAATTTTAAAAGCTCAGCCTTTAAAATCCTTAAAGAGAAACAGCCAGAAGTCGGTCTTGAAGAAATTCAACAAATGCGGTTTTGAATTCATCAGGTCTTCAACGATCTTCGTGGAGGAGCAGCGCCACATCCGGGTGCGTTCTCAGCTGAGAACCGAAGTTCCCAAAATCAAGGTGCTGATTTGATGAACAATGTGATATGATGTGATATGATGTGATATGATGTGATATGATGTGATATGGAATATTCAATGAATATTCAGGATATCTGAACATTGGATATCAATGTGATATGGGGTGTAGAATGTACCAATGACGGTGCATCGACTGAGGCTTTGGCGTCCAGAAGAGAGCGAGCCAGAGGTCGTAGAGGTCTGGAATGACCATTTCTATCTGCCCAAAGGTCTTTGCCAAAATTATCAACAAGATTCGAACCAAACTCTATATGAAGATGAACCTTTTGTAAAATGTTTTCGCGAATGCGTTCCTTCGGCCTCGATGCTTGAGTTTCCATCATAGGTTTTTATTTTCACCATCCTCTTAGCATCTTGTTCTTAGATTCCTTCCATCTCTCATGAAGTGCCGGAACTTCGCTGCGGAAACATGTTGTCCCTGTCGGTTCGAGAGGCACCTGATGCTGATGCTGCGCAGGAGTTGGAGGCAGTTTCGTACGGAAGGCATATTAACATGTCGATTATTTTTTAAACATGTATTACATATTGAATCAATATCTATAATATCCTGTAATTATAAGTATATGTATGACTGCATTTCGATGATTTTATCTAGTTTCTGTTTGACTGTTCGGGAGACCCCAAATTTGGGAGACAATAGACAAAGGCACAAGCATCATTCTTTCTTGATTCGATTTGAAAGACACGAGTTGCAAGCGTTCTACCAGCTGCTTTGAACCAGGAGCTTCATGGTATGTTTGATCACCTGGACCATTCAAAGGTTGTACGCAATGACACGCAGGACTGAGTGTTGGAAGTGTCTAGAGAACTTTCCAACTGCTGTTGCACCCTTTGCACCCTTTTGCTTTGTGTAGTGACTGCAGCTCAAGGAGAACTTGCTGCTGGATAATTTGGATGAGGACAACGGTGAGTGAAAAAGCCAAATGCGTTCGCCGAAAAAGGATGTGTAGTGAACAGGTGCACAGCAACACATCTGAGGAGTTTAGCCATGTCGCTCCAGGGGGTGTGACCATTCTGGGCCGTACCATTCTGTGTCTCAAGCATGAAAGTTTGGTCAACATCTCTCCAGTTTTGTGAATTGAATGTCATCGCTTATGTCATAACAGCCTCTACCGACTGTCAGTGTAACCACACACTGCAGCCAGTGACGCAGCTTTTGACATCCGTTCGATCATTTTTCACAACATGTTGGCCCCGGCGCCACAAAAGTTCTGGAAGGTCGAAACTCCACACTGCCGTCAGAGACCAGGATCCCAGGCATCGCCATCAACGTCCCGGGTATCTCGGGTATCTCGGGTCTCTTGGTTTTGTGCTCTGAGTCTTTGTGCCCGTTGTGCCTTTCGGAAACGTGACAAGTCTGAGAAGTCTTCGACCCGTGTTCGCTCGAATTCGATTAATTCGACGATGTCCATTTTGAACGAAGCGTGGCAACTCGGTGGTTGGAAGCTCCGTGGACGAGTTGTGTTGGCACCCATGGAACAAGTCACAGACTGTGCTTTTCGGCGCTTGTGCTTCGAGTTGGGCGCCAGTTTCACTTGGACTGAGATGGTGAGAGCTGCATCGCTTCTGAAACGTAACAACTCCACCACGAGTCGCATTGACACATTAGATCCTTCCACACCCACAGCTGTGCAACTCATGGTCAGCAGTCCTTCTGAATTGAGAAGGGCTTTACAACTTCTGGAAGAACGTGCTCAAAGCGATAAACTTTTTTGGGCTCGCGGAATCCATGGTATTGACCTCAACTTTGGATGTCCATCACCTCACATCATCAATGATGGTCTAGGTCCAGCTATGTTAAGTCGACCTCAGGTCCTTCGACAACTCTTTGACACCTTGGCAGACTGGCGGGCCAAACAAAAAGTGTTGCCAATAGGTGCAATCGGAGCCAAGATGCGCTTGGGCCTCAATGAAGATGAAGAAGAGCGAGAAGTCTATCTTCGAGCAATTCAAAGCGCCAAAGGTCGACTGGATTATGTTTGTTTACATCCACGTCATGCAAGAGATGAATCTAAGATTCCAGCAAGGTGGGAGCACATTCGAAAAGCGAAAGAAGTCGCAGGGCATCGTTTAGCGATCATTGGCAATGGCGATGTGTTCAGCCGCAGAGATGCTGCCCGCATGATACGTGAGACTGGCTGTGATGCAGTGATGGTTGCACGAGGTGCCACGAAGACCGTGGGAGCCATTTTTGATCCATCCTGGGATGACACAG